GTGTGTGTGTGTGTGTGTGTGTGTGTGTGTGTGTGTGTGTGTGTGTGAGGGAGTAAAGTGGAGAAGATGTGGAAGCGGTTGGATGAGGATGAGGAAGAATAGGGGGATAAAGCAGAACATAAGAGAGTAGGGATGGGGAGAAAGAAATAAAAGACAGAGAGAGGTTCTGATTAAATAGCAGTCAGACATGTCCATCTGCAGATGGACATAAATGCATGGCACAGAATACAAAAATTTATAAAAAAGGGGTTTTCGGTTTGAACTTTTTAAAGATGTGAAAAAAAAGAATCAAGAGCGTTTGCAGTTTAAATAGCTGAAGCAATGTTCCATTATATTTTTTTGTGGTCCAAGTCTGCCTGGGAAGAAACATCAGATCCTTGCAGTGTAGAGTAACAATGTTTGCTCCTAAGAGGGTCAAAAGAAGAGGAGGTTCATCAGTTCTCAAGGACGAGTGCATCCCTCCGCAAAGCCCTCCTCTCTGTCTCTCTCTGTCTTTCTCTTTCCTTCCATGCCTCTATGGTCTGTGTACATGTGTGTGTAAAGTGTGTGTGTGTGTGTGTGTGTGTGTGTGTGTGTGTGTGTGTGTGTGTGTGTGTGTGTGTGGCTTGGTGCTGGGTGTGTGAGCCTGATGTGAGTGGACATCACAGGGGGCGCAGGGGATGAAGGTTAGGGGTGGGGTTGGGAGCAGTGATGAGCAGCAGTGGCTCGAGCTACACTGCTGCAAACCCATAAATAGAGGCAGAAGTCTACAGTGTTGTAGAGCAAAATGGGCCACATCCACTCGACTGGCTGTTCACTAAAGCATTTACTTTATTTCCAGAGTTGCGCTGTTGCAAACATGTTGCAACTTTGAATAGTATGTTTTAGGGTGGATGGCATCAGTAGCATCCCTGCAGCCAGCAGAACTATATCAAATGAAAGAATTAAGGAGAAAATACATTTTTTTATCAATTGAAAATTTTGAAATTCTATGATTTGGTTAACTATATTTTAAGGTTTATGTATAAGGCTCACAAAAACATATTACCTTCTAACATTCAAGTTAAGATTGTTGTTATCTTAATGGGATGGAAATGTTTGTGAAGCCTTGGTTTCATGAAGGAGCGGTCTACTTTAATCCAGGGGAAAGGATTGTGGGATGGTTTGGAGGATGATGTTAAAAATGCCAGATCTATGTATTTATTTATGTGAATGATAAAAGTTAGTTTTTTTCGAAGGAATAGGGAAAAGCACACTGTGAATTCATACAAATTGTTTGTTTGTTTGTTTTATTTTCTATTGCATATATTTGTTTTTAATGAAATAAATACATTTCTAAAAACAGCTACTCATAATGTTGCCCATTCAGGAGTCAATTTCTTTCATGAAAACAACTCAAACTCCAAACTTTTTGCGCAGTTCCAGTAAATGTTATGTTTTTTTTGCACCTTGTCATGACTTCCTCCAACAAACAGCTCATGTATTGCTAAATGGAACTCTGTGWGGCTTGCAGAGAATCAGCCATGACTTGCAGTGAAAGTGAGAACAAAAAGTAAACAACTGTCTCATGCAAAAACAATATATTGTTTTCATGAAACCACTTTTTGAGTTTGAGTTGTTTTCCAGTGGGAGGACATTTGCTCTTTTGTCACTGTTTTGAGCAGCTGTTAGCTTGCTGAGAGTTTGAGAATGAGAGTTTCTCCTTGACCCTCAAAACTAAGATTATTCTGACTGCTGTCTACTTCGGGTAAGATGTTTACTACTCAGAAGTACTCAAAGGAAACATCCCTCTGAGGTTTGTTTTAGGAGGATGTTTATGTGTGTTTTTCTGCTCTTTTTATTTCTCTGACTCCTGCTCATCTGCCCTCTACTCCCTGTTTTGCTCACTTCCCTTTTCTGCTGTTTTATGATCAGGAAAGCCCGCTTTAATTCTGATTCCAGCTGACAGAGACCCTGGGGGAGGATTCTCCTGGTGTCTGAAGCCAAAACCTCAGTGACACGCCATGACTCAAATACACAGGGTGATAAAATTTGGGACTGGACGTGGAAACAGCAACAACTGCAACTGCATATTATTTTTTCTATTAGAAATTACAGACAAATAAATAAATAAATAAAGAAAGGAAAGATAAAAAGAAAGGAAAGGAAAGGAAAGGAACGGAACGGAAAGGAAAGGAAAGAAAGAAAGGGAATAGAAAGGAAAGAAAATGGAATGGAAAGGAAAGGAAAGACAAAAGGAAAAGAAAAGAAAGGAAAGGAAAGGAACGGAAAGGAAAGACAAAGGGAAAGGAAAGGAAAGGAAAGGAAAGGAAAGGAAAAAGGAAAGGAAAGACAAAAGGAAAGGAAAGGAAAGAAAAAAGAAAAGGAATGGAAAGGAAAGAAAATGGAATGGAAAGGAAAGGAAAGACAAAAGGAAAAGAAAAGAAAGGAATGGAAAGGAAATGGAAAGGAAAGACAAAGGGAAAGGGAAAGGAAAGGAAAGGAAAGGAAAGGAAAGGAAAGGAAAGGAACGGAAAGGAAAGACAAAAGGAAAGGAAAGGAAAGGAAAGGAAAGGAAAGGAAAGGAAAGGAAAGGAAAGGAAAGGAAAGGAAAGGAAAGGAAAAAGGAAAGGAAAGGTAAAGGAACAGAATGAAATAAGGAAAGGAAAGGAAAAGAAAGAAAAAGGCAAAGGAAAGGAAAGGAAAGGAAAGGAAAGGAAAGGAAAGGAAAGACAAAAGTAAAGGAAAAAGAAAAGGAAAG